TTGATGGTGAAAGTAGCCGCTGGTGGAGCTGCCATAACCGGGCCAGTTGCCGCCGGTAGAGCTGCTGCTTGCTCCGTCATGTTTGTCGCTAGCCGATCGCCAAACTGACTTTCTTTTCAATTTTCTCAGTTCACCGCTTAGAGCGAGTGCACTTCTGACACCATGTTGTGTTGGGCTCTTGAATAAAACTACCCGCTCAAGCGATAACGTGGAGCAACAACCATCTTTATTTTAGCTTACTCTCGTGCTAATCACATACCACCATTTCCTGACTAGATGGTAAGTACTGCCGCCTAGTGGCGCATGATGTACATCAATATAGATTACACCACAATTGTATTATGTAATTGTAATAATAATATAATAATATAGCTTCACAATGATTACAGGACATCAGACTACTTGTTCTTATTGCTTAATGATGCAGAATAATCATATAGAAATAAAAAACCTGAAGTTGTGTGCTATTTGAGCATGTTGCCTGCCTGCAGCACTAAAAGACTCCGTGAGAGACGTCTGTCTCGCCCTAGCAGCACCTGTCCCTCTCCTCCTCTTCAGTTCGCCTCAACATAAGCTCATCATATTCTGTGATATGATTTACTCTGAGGTGTTTGACCAGGGTTAGTGGTGTTGCCACAACACCTCACTGTCTTGCCACATGTATCGCAAACCCCGTCTTGGCTGTTTGTGGAGGTAAAATATGTCCACACATGACTTTGTTTACGCTCAGCCATTGTTGTAAGTGCGCACGCCAGGTGCAGTGTTGCCAACTTAGTGACTTTGTCACTATATTTAGTTTGAGTTTTCAGAGCCCCTTAGCAAAATTTTTTCTAAAAAGCGACTAGCGACAAATCAGGTGACTTTTTCTGGTGTTATTGGAGACTTACTTATGACAACTTTTTGACGTGAAAGCGCGTATCGCTCTTCTCAACAAGCAGCGGGTGCTGCTGTGGGCAACTCGCCCGTGCCAAAGCACTCACGGGCAGAAAATAGTCCTCCCCCAGCTGCTATCAGGGCAGGAGATGTTCCCACCTATGCGTCCAAACTGCAAATGAATCGCGTATGAGTGAAGCCTCTGCTCCCGCACTGACTGTAACGCAATCAGTTCTTCTTTTACTGTTATGTTGCTTTGTGGATCACAAGGTTTAAAACTACTTAAACACAAACACACACAAAGTAACTCCACCAGAGTGCCTATTTCGGGTCAATTTTGCCGGTCCAAGCGCAGATAAAGGAATAAGGTTGGAATTGTGACATTAAAAAAAAATCGCTAAAAAATAATAATAATAATAATTTGTAATTCGAAATAAATTCTAAATGCATTTAGGACGTTTTTTTTACTCAATTTATGTCTCTTCTTTTTTCTCCTACAACGTGGGTTACAATGATATTAGCATGACCAATTATGCAAATTACGCGATGACGTCGTTTAGCGACTTCTAGAGACTTTTAGCATAGCCAATAGCGATTTTCCTTACTGAGGAGTTGGCAACACTGGCCAGGGGCTGCGACACATTTATACAGCCGTATTTCGCATATGACTATGAAAGGCGTAAGAGGAAGTAGTTTCTTCCAATTTAGACGATCCGAATGATATAGTTTCTTACCACTGTGTTCCTGTTAATGAAAAACTACAAATTTACCCCAAAGTACTAAAATATCGATATTTTAATATGAGAATCGATTCTAGAACATAAATTACTGGGATCGGAACAATCGATATTTCAATGTCGATCCGCGCACCACTACAGCGTACACTGTAGTGTATAGCACACAGGAGTATTAGCTTATTATGTACACGTTGGTAAGCTGTCTTGTTGCAACTGACGAACTGAAACAAACGAGCGTGCTGTGTGTGCAACAGCGTGACAAACATTACCTGTCCTTTTATTAACTGCACAAGTAGTGCTGGTCATAGCTGCTGGCTGGCTACCTG